ATGGGAGGTCACTTACAGTAAGTTCATATGCGAGTAAAGGCAGGTGAGCGAATACTTTTGGCAATATAGTGTACCTCCTTCCTGTCTGGGCCAATTTTTCTTCTCTTGGTCTTTCACCCCTCTCTAAAGAACAGAGGGATCTCTCCTGATCTCTGGCACCCCAACATGAGATCCCTTTCAAGACCAGGGTGAAAAGTCTCTTCAGCGATGGGAAAGGCTCCTTTGATCTCAACAAAGGAAGAGAACCGTCTTCAGCCTTGGCCACCTGTACAATCAGGTCCCGATTCTTAGGGAGGCTGACCCACTGACTCGATTTACCTTACACATGCCGTAATCTGTTAGCTTGATGTGGCCCTCTGTATCCAGGAGAACATTATCCAGTTTTAAATCTCTGTAGATAATGCCTCTCTCGTGGAGGAAGTTGAGAGCAATGCAGATTTCAGCAGCATAAAACCTGAAAGGAAAACGTAATTTCACTCCTTAGGGCCATTTAACAGTTGCTATTCCTTTCATTTTGCAATGGATGGATCTGTGAAGGTTGGACCATGAAGGAAGGCTGAGCGCTGAAGAACAGAGGCCTTTGAGCTCTGGTGCTGGAGAAGAAGACTCCTGCAGTGAGTCCCTTGGACTGCAAGGAGATCCAACCGGTCAGTCCTAGAGGAGATCATCCCTGACTGCTCTTTAGAAGGCCAGATCCTGAAGATGAAACTCAAATGCTTTGGCCACCTAATGAGAAGGAAGGACTCCCTGGAGAAAAGCCTGATGCTGGGAAAGATTGAGTGTAAAAGAAGAAAGGGACGACAGAGAATAAGGTGGCTGGCTGGAGTCACTGAAGTAGTCGGCGTGAGCTTAAATGGACACCAGAGGAAGGCCTGGAGGGATGTTGTCACTATGGGTCAGACATGAGTTCGCAACTAACAACAGCAACAACATGTTTCAGATTCCTGGGTTCAGCATCACCACTAAATCAATTGGTGAAATAATCTGTCACTGACTTAATCCCTTCTGAATTTAACCTCCCATAATTTTTGTAATATGCTGACTCTGTAAACCCCTTAGAGAGGGCTGTAAAACACTACGAAGCAGTATATAAATCTAAGTGGTATTGCTGTTCCTTCTCTCCCTTTGTCATCTCCCTCCTTCCTTCCTTTCCTCCCTCCCTCTCAGTGGTTAGAATGCGGTATTGCAGGTTAACTCTGCATTCCCGCTGTCAGCAGTTCGATCCTGACCTGCTCAAGATTGCCTCAGCCTTCCATCCTTCTGTGGTTGGTAAAATGAGGACCCAGATTGTTGGGGCAAGACTGGACCACCATAAGCCAAAGTGTGTTTTCTGATCTTCACCAGCACTATTTGCAAACCACAGTTCATGCCTGAGCATGGCGTGTGTGTGAACCCAGATTCAAATTCACTCTTACCCATAGAAACTCATTTGGTGAATCTGGGTTCAATCGACCTCACAGGGTTGCTGTGATGGGAACAAGTTTAAAGCAGAGATTTGATCCCCCCCAACGGTGTTTGGAGGAAGTCAAAGAACAAAACGGGGAGGACCACAACTCTGCAACCAAAGTCCCACACCATTCCCACCTGCACCACAACATTTGCAGAAAAAAGATGGGTCTTTGGTTGCTCTATTGTAGAGGCCACCTTGATTTTTTGGCCTCTTCCTGTGGAGATAGGTTGACCTTGACATACAGCCATTCATTTAGTGACAATTTGAAGTTGTATCAACCCTGAAACAAACTGACTTATAACCGGTTTTCACACTCATGACTGTTGCAACACACACCCACACACACCCCTGGCCCTGAGATCAAAATTCAGGCACTTGGCAACTGGCATGTAATCATGACAATTACAGTCACAGGCTCTCTGTGATCTCCCTTTGCGGTGTTCCCAACCAGATTCCAATAAGCAGAGCCAACAACGAAAGCCAGGTTCACTTAACGACCATTCACTTAAAAACTGTAGTGATTTGCTTAACAGCAGCAGCCAAAAGGGTTGTAGAGTCGGGCACAGCTCACTTAACAACAGCCTTGCTTAACAATAGAAATTTGAGGGGTCAATTGTGTTTGAAGGTCAAGGGCTACCTGGAATTCGCCTTGACACTCAGATTGCGGTGGTGTGTTGATCTTATTAATAAATACAGAAGTGTTGCATCATTTATCACCTGATATCTTATGGTTTGTGCCAGCCCCTCACTCTCCCAGTTTCGCTGTCCCATCTCGTCCTTCGAGGGTCTTGGGCAGTGGTGGGATTCAAATAACTTAACAACCAGTTCTCTGCCCTAATGATTTCTTCCAACAACCAGTTCACCAAACTGCTTAGAAAGTTACCAACCGGTTCTCCCAAAGTGGTGCGAACCGGCTGAATCCCACAACTGCTCCTGGGGGAGAATCACTGGGCCAACAATTTTGGCCTTTTCCGAAAGCCGCATTGGTCGGGGCGTTTCTGAGTCTCTGTGCTGTAATTCTGCTTTCTTTAGGACCGTGTAGAAAATCGGAGGGGTGGTATTTGATCCCCTGCAGAGCGTGAATAAACGGAGAAGTTATGCTTTGCACAACTAAATGGTACGAATGTAAGGAACAGCGGAAAAAGGTTTTGGGGGGGAAGAGAGCGAAAGAGATGGAGGTGGGTGGGGAATTCAGATGGAACTCTTTCAAACACAACCAGAGTGGCTAAGAGCTGGAGACAAAGGCAGGAAGACTTTTTAAACAAGAAAGCATAAAAATCCAGGATTTTCACCCATCTGGGATGCAGTAGCAGCCAGCCGAGCAAATTGAACTACATTCTGATTTAAGGTCATTCCCATCATCTTTTGGAGAATGCAGACAAACTTCTAGACAGTTAGGATTGGAGAATTTCAGAAGCTGGGGACAAAAACCATCCTAACAAGGTACCTTCCTTTTCTCTTTCCTTCATTCCAAGCAGCCTTTTCTTGTCATCATCAGCCAGGAAGTGAGTTTCATCACTCTTAGGCTGGAATTCTTTCCTGGAATTTGAGTTTTCCAGGATTTTCTCTCCTCCCTCCCCCCACTTCCCTAAATATTAATAATTTTGTAACATGAAAATTGCTGTACCTTCTAATATTTTATGTTTTGGGATGCGCCTGGGCAAATTTGAATTTAAAAGGACAAATCATGTAGCTATTATGTTGAAGGCTGAATGGGGGGGGGTGTCTTTGTAAATTGGATCCTGCCCTCCCCCTCAGTTAAGGGTCTGGAGCAGTTGGGAGCAAAACAGGACCATCTTTTGGGGGGTGGGATCTGAAGCCCACAACCAATGGTGGGTGTCTTTGCAAACTATATTATCACTGGAAAATTGAAGGTGTTCAAAAGTAGGGAAAATACTCTTGTGAGATAATGGAGGGGGGGGGAGAGAGATAAGAGAGCACTGCCATTTCATTTAAATCTGAAAAGGAGGGAGAATGTGGCAAAATGTGTACGTGCATTCCAGATCTAGACGAAGCTTCCTCCAGGCAGTAAACTCTCACCAAGGCTGATGAGTTCTTAAGAAGAAAAATTGTGCGTGTGTATATGGCTGCGGGTTCCTTACTCGCACACTCCAGTGCAGTCTCACAATATCGCGTGGATGTTATGCGCGCGTGGGAGATACGGGGGATGGGGTAAGGGGGAGGTACGCGCGTGTGGAAACGGTTACGTGCCAGGGGAGCGCCAGGCGGCGGCGGCGCGTCTTGGTCAGCGAAAATGAGGAGGGAAGGTGGCGAGAGAATGCGCGAAGCAGGGGGGAGTCTGAGATGTGGAGGAGGGAGTCCTAAAGGGATGGCGAGCCTGGAAGATAGAAGCCTGGGGGAGTGGGCGTCCGGGTCTCCTCCCGGTGGGGGAAGGAGAAAAAAAAAGAAACAAAGCGAGGGGGCGTCTTTGGGAATGCGCGCTGCGCGTCTGGAGAGGAAGCGGGCGAAATCGCCGGGGGTTGGGTTGGGGGCGTTGCTCCGCTGCGGGGAGGCAAGGGGAGGGGGCGGAGGGCGCCTCCAGGGTTGAGAAAGCAGCGAACCAAGGCTGCCCGGGGGGGGGTGGGGCTCGAGAGAAATAGGGGTCAGCTACAGCCCAGCCAGTCTCCGGTGGACGTTAGGGAAATCGCGGCGCAAAGTTGGAGAGGGTTTCGCGCTCGGCTACATCGCCAAATGTGGGCAGGGGGCGAGCCGTGAAAGGGGGAAGGGCTGCCTCCTCCTCCTCTCCTCGTCTTTTCCCCTTCCTTTCCCCCTCCCCTCCCCCAATGCGATGGCCATCCTTGCCCCAAGTTGCGGTTAGATTTTGCTTTCCCAGATCTAGTGTCGTCCAGATGTGAGGATATTGAAGCCCCCTCATATCTATTTGGCGGAGAATCATGGAAGGGAGGTTTGATTTAAACCCGATGCCCAGTTTGTAAGAGGAAGCCACACTGAACTTGGGAGGGGTGGGTGGGTTGGAGGTGTTAACATGGGCTGCTAGGAACCCTTCCCTGCCACCCCATTAAAAATCACACCCTGAAAAAGGTGTTTTCCTTTTAAAATAAAACTCTAGAGGTGCCCAGCCTTGCCAACATTTAAGACTTGTGGACTTCAACTCACAAAATTCCACATAAGCCTTTGAAAGTTGTATAGATATTCTGTGAATTGAAGTCAGCAAGTCTTAAAATTGCCAGGATTGGACACCTTTGCTGAACCATGTAGGAGTTTTTTATTCTCCCCTAACATCTTTCAGTTCACTTCCACTCATGATGATTTTATAAAATGAAATTTTCTTAGGAACAATCCCCAAGTGTGTTACTGTTGCTTTACTATATTTTACTATATGTTTAAGCTTCCCAGCCAAGGAGGAGCTGAGCAGAGTTGGATATAAGATGGGTGCCTATATAAATGTTTTTTTAATAAATGAAATAAAATAGAAAAAAATAGCCTGCAACTCTGAGATCTCCTCGTGGTCCCTCATCCAATTAATAACCTAGTCTGATCCTACATAATTCTACGGACTTGTTTAGTGACTGTTCAAAGTCACAATGGCACTGAAAAATAATGGTTTACAATTGGTCTTTCAACTTACCATGTTTGCAGCATCCCACAGGATCATGTGATCAAAATTTGGGCACTTGGCATATATTTAAAGTGCTTGCAGTCACGTGACCCTCATTTATGACCTTCCCAGCTGGCTTCTGATAAGCAAAGTCAATGGATGAAGGCAGATTCACTTAACAACCACATAATTCACTTACTAGCTGCAGTGATTTGTTTAACCACCGTTGCAAAAAAAAGGAAAGAAAGAAAGAATTACGCATGTCTGACTAAACAACTGCCATGTATAGCAAGAAATTCTGGTCTCAATTGTTATCATAAATTGAAGAGCAGCTTGTTGTTGTTAGTTGCTAAGTCGTGTCCGACCCATTGGGACCCCATGGACAACGTTCCTCCAGACTTTCTTGTTCCCTACCATCCTCTGGAGTCCTTCTAAGCTCACACCTACTGCTTCGGTGACTCCATCCAGCTGCCTCATTCTCTGTCGTCCCCTTCTTCTTTCGCCCTCCATCTTTCCCAGCATGAGGCTCTTCTTCTTCAGGGAGTCCTTCCTTCTCATTAGGTGGCCAAAGTATTTCAGTTTCACCTTCAGGATCTGGCCTTCTAAAGAGCAGTCAGGGTTGATCTCTTCTAGGACTGACCGGTTGAATCGCCTTGCAGTCCAAGGGACTCGCAGGAGTCTTCTCCAGCCCCAGAGTTCAAAGGCTACCTACAATTAGCTTTTTGCAGTCAGCCAAGACCAGTCTAATGCAATAAGCAAATTAAGAAGAGCAGAATAATCTCTCTTAATTCCGTTTACTATAATCAATTCTGTTCCTTCCAAGAATTGTTGTATTGTTTGCAGCACATACTACATTCAGCAGAACTAGATCGGGTCACGCTGACCTTTTGGGATTCCTTACAGATCTCTTGAGAGCTCTTAATGGCTGCCTTGGCCCAACCTATTAAATCATAAACCACGATTTACAAGTACCACGGCTAAGCCAAAAGTAAGCAAATCACATGTCAATGGGGTTTATGAATTCAGCCCTAAGGGAGTTCGCTCTATGTGAAGCAAACAATACANTATCCTTCCCCTGGAGTGGGGAAGGAATTGAGATTTTACAGTATCCTTCGCCTGCCATGGCCTCCAAGCCACGCCCACAGAACCGGTAGTAAAAAAAAATTGAATCCCACCACTGCAGTGGAGGATGGACATGGCTGGTGTGCTATGATCCATGGGGTCTCAAAAAGTCGGACATGACTTAACGACTGAACAACAACAACAAGATTCCTCTCTCCCATCTCAGAGAGCAGTTTGCAACCCATTTTGTGAGATCCCACTGATCCCAGGGGAGGGCCTTCTCTGTGGCTGCTCCAGCCCTCTGGAACGGAGCCTCACCACCTTTCAGGCTTTCCGCAAAGCCGTCAAGACCTGGCTG